GGATAGGATGCACCCTGCCATCGAGCCACGCACAAATATCGGAGAAGAAAATACTCCATAAAACCCTCCAACGATTCCGGACGGTGTAGAGGCCCCAGACCTGGTCCTTGAGACCTCGCTTTTATACCTACTATTCGGGGTACATCGGGAAACTCTTCGAGAACAACTCATGGGAAACTAGCGAGTAGAACAGATGACCCGGGGTTGTTTGCCGCTACGGTGAGCTCTCTAAACTAAAGTGAAGAACCCGGCTGTACGACTGTCAGTACATTTAAATATGTTGATCACCCGGTATACCGGGGAGAGTATTCGGGCCCTGTTGAGCCTTGATAATCATATGAATAAACCGTAACAGTTGCTAGAGTGGAACTCTTACACAAGATGAGGTAGGTCTGTTACTTAAGGAGAGTTCGTGTCTGTGCCACTTGTACTAATTCTTAGACAGTGAATAGCACGCCTAACGATCTCGCGCTCGACCGTGCCCTCATGAGAGGTACGAGCCCGCAATACCCCGCAATTGGTGGATCTTTGTTTTCCTTGGGCCAGGCTATGTCTCCACCTCACATTCAAGCCAGTCTCCAACAGGGACCTTCGTTCATCCCGGATATCTCGCAGGAGAGAGTAAGGTGCTTGCCCGGTAGTGGCACTGCCAGCGCAGACCTTGCGGCGACACTGGCGCTTGCGAAGAGCACGAACGGTATCGATGTTTAGTCGGGGCGAATAGGAAGAGCCGCGCGGGTTGTAAGTGGGCTCAGCCGCGCCGTCGTTCGTGACCAAAGTACAATCGCTCTAGATGCCTTGGTTCGAATCGCCATCATACACATTCGGCAGCGCAAGACTTGTGCATTCGAATGAACCTATCAAGAGTATGTTCTAGATGGCTCTACATGCATTCCAGGCCGGGCACCTTCATTCCTCAGTAACGTTCATGCGAACCGGTAGAGTGACGTGTCAGTTTTGTTCCTTGAATTACTGGAACTTGTCTACACAAGCTCGTGTGGGACTCTTTCCGCACGCGTGGCAAATTATTGCACGATGGCAGATAATTATCAGGTGAGTAACGTTACTATTAATCACTCGCCTCTGCCACAAGCCGGTCTTCCCCTAGAACTCCCGCGCCTACCATCTTCCATTGGGGATGCCTTCGCCAAAGGTCCCATCCAGAGAGCTAAAAGGACTGCCCTAGCACTTGGTATCGCAGGTTCATCCCTCGCATTGCGTTGGTCCTTTATTGTGGGGATGCTTTCCTCCTGCCGGGATGGGCTGGCCCCGAGAACGCTTGGGTAATATCGATGAGTCCCTTGTAGTTGGACCTGGATCTTTTGTATTCATTTTTGGCCGGAAATAAGCTGAAACCGGAGTGAACGGAGTGCTTAGCAGCTTTAGATCCGGCAATTCGCGGTTGCGCCTCGCACCGCTCAGTTCGCTCACACGGTTCCACCAATACGAGCTCACTCCCCAAGTAGACTCATAAAGATGATGAATTCCGTCGGGGTACAACACCCAAAAAGACCAGATTAGCGTGCCCCTTCACGGCTTCTCCAAATCATCCGGCTACAGGTGTGTCTAAATGACGGTAGAGTTTCTGAAATAGATTTTTTCTTGAATGTGTGGACTTCTCCGTGCGGCCGATACTGAGTCGGATTACTAGGCGAATCGATTGTAAGCCTTTATTCCCGAGTACTACCCAGTAGCTGCGTTTAACCTCCCGTTAACGTAAAACTTAGGAGCGAGACTGACCCTATTAATTTCGGAAAAGGACAACCCACTATAGGATTAGGAATTAACATCTGTCATTGATCAGGATCAGGTCTCAGAGAGGAGAGCAACCATTCCCCCGCTAATCGTTACGGTTGCCCGGGAGAGTCTAAGTATGTCATATTCATCCAATAACAGACTTATCAACCGCCACGCCCTCCAAATTCTCATTCCACCTTTATGTTGCGTCCGGCATTAGATTCAGCGCAAGCATTGGCATCGATCGCGCCACATAGTGTCGGCGGTGGACGTGCATAAGACGACGAGAGTTAATCTAGTCACCTTCAGAGACTCCATGCGAAACTAACCCACTGGCATACAAATATTCTCTAATTTCTTAAAGACACGGCATTAATTTTCTTTTGCAACTCCGAGGATTATGACTCAGACAAGAGCTCCTTAACGTCGCAACGTACTCGGGAACGCTTCCTTTCATGCTTCCCGCCGAGGGCCGTCAGTACCGAATGTGGCCATTACCAACTCATTTTAAGGTGAGATGTCAAACTTCCTATGACGTTCTTCTGTGTTACTCCATTGGGCGGAGGGTTGGCCCAGATAGAAATCGATGTCGGTGTGCAACATCTGAGCTAAGAATAGGTCATTCTACAAGGTGCGACTCCGTTGTTCATAGCTGAGAACATCGGTTCCGTACTTAACTTCCGATAGTGTCGCTATAAGTTCGGGTTAAGAAGCAGATCTGTTATGAAAACGCTAGAACTAACCCCATTTAACAGTAATAGGACTTAATGAGAGAGACACTTTGATCTTCACTCTCAAGCCCCGAAGCGTGGCTGGCAGGGGAGGCGTGTCTACATGCGGCTACGTAACACCACCGGGACCGCAATGTTCGTCTAAGTCCGCATGTGGTGTTGCCTACCCACCCTGGTTTCTTACGGTGCCCCCACCCTGCTTTGTATGACCTGGTGTCGAATTCAATTTCTTAAAACCCGCCGCTGTCACTACGTTGCAAGTCTAATTGATGTGCGAAAGAGACGACGAAGCCTCTCGCAAGTGCGCGGGTTATCCATCTGGAAATTGCCTGCCTAACATTCGGGGGTGTTGGCTTCTTCCAACTAACTGAGCGGAGTATAAAGGCTTCGCGGCTGTAAAGTCGATAGCGCATTTGCACTAGCAGTTCTCAGCAAGCACGAGGTTAGATTGAATACATCGCTTGGGTGCAGAAGAGGTATGAAGCAATATTCAACTACTGCTTTGAATCAACAACAACTTTTTTCTTCAGTAAGACATACGGAACCCGTAGCAGGAGGGCCTTAGGTCTAACTGGCTACGGCACTCGTTTAGTGATTACACCTGCTTTATTATGTATCGCCACGGTGTGTACGATAACACCGGCCACGGTATAACTATGTGTACGCACACCTTGTGTAGTACAGGGCCGTCACTACAAGCCCGACCCGTCATCACCGCCTGCTGTCTCCTTTTGGTAAAATACTGAAGTCACGGGATGCACGTCCTGTTATTTAGGACGTCTCATGCGGTTGATATTTTTGGTCTTGGCGCGTATTGCACCGATTAACGAATTTTTAACCATTGAATTGTCGTGCGTCAGCCCAGCACTTACTGCGGCTTACACGCCTCCGCGCACCGGTCTAGTAGGTCTTTTAGTGAGACCGTTCGTGTATGGTGGACTTAAGCTAGCGGCTTAAAGGCAGGCGAGATAAATAAGCTTACACGGACCATAAGATTCTCTCTTTACGCCTAACCATGACCTGCCATTTCGATGGTCAAGCGCAACATATACACTCAGTGCCAATAATATGTGGTAGGAACCTCATTTGGCAAATACCGAGACGTAATGTCAGGGGGTATTCATTGGCGTTCTGTATCATGACGGGACTCTGATCGGGCAACACGGTATCATCGTCTTACTTATCCACACGTACGTGATCGAGAATAATCAGATGATACGCTCATCGTGTTTGCAGTAGCCACACGCCGTACCTCGTACATTATATCTAATCTCGTTTCGACTTGTTGGCGTCCGACGGTGATTCTTATCTTACGTCCCGAGTGAGCTCAGTACACGCATGGCTGGTCATCGTCTGACTAGGGTGATTTGGCTACTGATTCCTTGGTTACTGTGATGTGTCTACCAACTCAGACGCTTTGTGCAGATGCCTTTCAGGAACTCCTAGGACTCACTTCGTTATCTAGGACAGCCTCACTATGAAAACTAGACGCGGTGATGGTTCCTATCCGGGGCGCTGGCTAGAACAACCGCCTCAGGCCAAAATTGCCCAGCCGATTGGTCTCCTGAACCGCAGAGAAAGTATCCACCTGTGTCATGGTTCTGGCATCCGTTGGGGCCAGTCATACATGTGATAGATTAGCTTCAAAAGTAAGAAGTTACTTATGTGCACAATATGCGCAAACGTTGGCTGGCGTCTTAGCCTGGCGCTAGTGGGCGACTGGAACATCGTTAAAGGCGACAGGTTGATAAATTCCGGATCGACATGTGTAGTTATAGATGCGCCGGCGCGTATTGTTCGGCTAATCCCTACAGACTAGGTGAACTTTTCGCATGCAACCGCCTTGGGGTTTGGCAGGCCTTGTGTCACCGTAGCGCGAGCGCCCCGTTATATTTTGAGCGATTCCTACCACAGTAGATCTTATGATAACCTTAACTAGTGCTCTTCGCCGATGTCCTATTGAAAATCAAGTGACAAACAGGAGAAGTAAGCAAGGGATTCTGGACTATGGACCGCCCTGGCTCACCGCAAGAGACGATAACACTCATTAACACCCACTCCATGGGGGGCTTTACGTATACATTCAGGATTAGTCTTCACCTGGAGTGTTCGCCACCCACAATGTGAACTCTGCAAGGGCTGGTGGCGGTGTTCGATGGTGTCATGAGGCATTGTTCGGTAGGACTTTCAGCATTCACGGTAGCGCTAAACTAATAGCGTACTAAGGCGATCGCCACAGCAAGTCACGAGACTCCCCGTTGGAAGTGGTGAAATGTATAGTGGAACAAGATCAGGAATGCGTTACCCTATCTGATTATTCTACCGGATTCGGATGCTCTCTAAGTAGCTTGGGGACCTTAATCAGCCGCAGCGCAAGGCAGCGGGTTGCCGTGTCATGATATCGTTGTTCCAACCAAATTTCACAGTAATATCTCTTGCACGGTTCCCCTGCCGATCCAGCATAGTTCGCACCCCGGCAGTAATATGTTTCTCACCGAAAGAATCTCACCCTGGGTTATGGCGCAGTATACGATGACGCCGGGTTCCCTGTGCCAACGATTCGGTCGTCACGACAGCGTTTTATACGTGCCATCGGTGCCTACAAACGACACCATGGACCTTGAGCGGGCAACCGTTTCCCACAATGATGTCGTAGCCAACTAATCACATCACGTACTACAGGTCCTTTTTGATTGGTCTGGATTAGCGACGACTCCGAAAGTGAAATTACCGCCGATGTTCGCGCTCCGAGATGGCAGGTAGAGAAGATGTAGGAACGGCGTAGCATCTCCCCCTATCGCTCGAGTTCAGAACTAAGGACTTGCAATCTACCTTACAATCCTCTATTACGGGATACCTCCCTTGTCTATCCGCGGGAATTGCAAAGGGGATTCACGCCAATAGAGAGCTTTTTGACAAATCATACAAGAGGGAAGGCGAGCATCTATCAGGTCGACCTGGTCACTCACAGCAGCGGCGGGGCCATCGGTTCCTGAGCACATTGATGTTGGCTACGTTCGGGAATGCAATTCCTGGTTTTACCAACCCGAAGGGAGGCGGGCAACGGATTCCTTAGACCCGCAGCTCAGAACGCCCCGGTCCTACACGAGATATGGGGGGTTCGTCTCGCCCACATGGCGTCCGTACGGGGGTTCCCTAACTCGACAAGGAAGTCCAAGCTGCGGTAGACAGGCGCAAAGTCGCGGTTTACGAGCTTCAAACCGTACAGAATTTACACTTATTGGTCCCTTATACGTCCTTAAATCCACTATCTCCTTAGCATGCTAGAAACGAGAGTCTATGGAGCTTGTGGGGTTGTTGGAGGGGGTAAACCTAACATGACGTCTATCCGTTTTAGTTCGCTATGAGGCATACGCCTTGTAAACATCCCGTCCCGTTAAATGCTACAACAGGTTCCGGTGGATGCTGATTTAGATCCCTTAAACCCCTCCAGCTGATACCGCCGTTTCTTCGCTTATTGTTAAGCGGGAGGGTTTCGTAGGGGATGCCGACTAGTACCGCAGGCTGAAATATCTGACACTGATTCTAGTTGCATTCGACATGTCCACCAGCAATAGTCAATGTTGCGGACTTTGAGTCTGTATGCGTCGCGGGGTTTACGGGATGAGCTGGAATGGGATATGAGCATCCCACGTATAGTCTACTTTGGAAATTGCTAGCCATTGTTACAAATATTACCTCCATCAGTTACAAAGATCCCGCAGCTGGGACCAGTTGACGGTCGTTGGAAGGGCTACATCTCCATTACCCTCGGACACGGGCCAGTGTTATCTAGCAAGTCGTGCTCTTAACGGTACGCTCCAGCCTACGGAAGCCCGAGTCGCACATCTGCGCTGTAAATAACCAGATGGTTTTAAGTTATCACGTGCGTTCGGTAGGTAATCGAGCATATTTCATGGAACCCAACAATTCACTGCTGTTCAAGGCCAAGATAGCGCAAATCATCTTCGGCTAGTATAGTTAGCACAATGCCACCTTCATAACGCCATTGTTCTAAAAATCAGGTCATAGCTTCTCAGAGCATTTTCGTGGTCTGTTTGCTTAAGCGCCTTGCGCGTACAAAAGTATAACGGTACCCCTGACACAATGCGAAATAGTCATCACACTGTACGCACTCCTTTGTGACTTTTAGCGGGTCGAGTCTTTATCTAAGGAACCCTTTGTCTTGAAAACTCCCGACTATACTGCCGCTGAGCCCCAATTAGCTGCGATATGTCGCATTCACTCATCACAGACTCGTCGTGGCTAGTTGTTGGCGAGCTATGTCTAGCTGGGCAAACGTTCGGACCAGGCAATTGTTCCGACTCTGCCGCCCCCGCAACACTGTACTGACCTTATTGTTAGGTGTCCGTGGAACTCATGAGTAACTGAGTAGTGGATGGATCCCACTCGACGACTGTTGTCGGCGTTTGATACGAACGTTGTCCCGGTATGACGGTCTGACCGCGAGCGCGTGGGTCCGTTTCTTGAAACGTAGCAATTGGAACCTCTCTATGCCATCAGCGGTCTACAGATCAGCGCGTTGCTGTCTACTTTCTGAAACTTGTTTATAACGCGGATGATGCAACCAAAAGCGGCTTACCTACAACTCACTACAGACTTCCTCGACTCGAGGAAATTCGTATAATACAGCTTTGCATGCCTCAACTAAGTCGTGTGGGATCACTTTCTGCGGACCGCTTACGCAGATATTACCTATTACTACTCCTGGCTCAGAAACCAGGTTCCGTAAAGGAGATGCCGTGCTAGCGGCGTGTAACAAAAGCTCGAGGAGGCGATAAAAGCCCGGCTAACCTCCATCCTGGGAGGCCTCAGGTGCAGCTGCGATGTGTACGGTTAGAAGTAAGTAGTGATTGGCGCGAAACCAAGATGTGGGTATTGGCTGTAGTGAGATACACCTACAATGTCAAATTGAAGCTCTGTGGTATATATGCATACACCCAGTAGTTCGCTGTTCTTAAGTAGATATATGGTCCGTCTGACAGCATAAATTGAGCACGCCTACGCGACATGGTGTTTGTGGACATCAGCTGTGCTCTTTAATCACATATTCTATGAACTCTGTTCAATTCTGGTGAATCAGTAAAACAGGCGGACCGTAACATCCGGGATCACGTTAGTTAATCTCTGTACTTATCGGCGCCTTCTGGCTAACTAACTCTACATTTGGACGGAAAATGCTAAACGCCTTCCTTATCCGATATGGGCTTGATTGTTAGGCGCTCACGACCAGCGTCCATGTCGGGCCTAGCTCGTCTCACAGTCTTGTGGGCCTATGCTTCTTATAATTTCTCATAACTATCTCTTCCCCGCGCACAGTCTTGTAATAATTCCTGTATCGCAAAGTGACTTCCCCGGTAACGAAATCCGTCTAGTAGCCACAACATTCCAACGCACGTCTCGAGGCTATAGAATCAATTGACACCGAGATATCTGTTGTATGGCCGGGCCCCCTAGTATCAGTATATTAGTGGCAGTTTCAATGCATCTGCAATTTAGTTTGGGGTCGGTGCGAATGCATGCCCAACATCCATGGTTGTCCCTAAGAAGTGGGTTTCGCTGATCTGAAGCCTTAGGACTGGTCTGCTCTGCACGTGCCGGCGCCTCTATAGCTGTTTGGTGCAGCCGGCTTAATAAACTTAATGAGTTTAATTACCCAATCCGCTGTAATAAAGTGCCGGAAGGACCTGGTCGTAGGGTATCAGATCGACGCTTAAATGTATCACAGTGAACCGGTCGGGACCCGGTTTGCTAGGGTGCTCAGTAAACGTGGTACTTGGCCAGCCAGGAGACGCGACACACCGCAGCCATCAGTAACGAAAAATTTTGTGGAAATTGGCCCGTGTGTGCGTTCACGCCCCTTACCTCATGAATTTAATATCGCTCTGCTTCTCACTCGAGTCAAGAAAATATGTACCTTGGCCGCTCATGCCACCTCGGACGTCTTACATGAATTTTGACGGTATACACCTTGGTATGCATGACGGTATATTATCACGAATGTCAGGCTCCGAGAACGGTCGAAACCAACTTTTGGATAGCCCGGGTCTTCCAAACAGGTATCAGGACGACCCGGAGGTGCGTTTCACTGAGAAAGTCGAGGAACTCTCCTGTCGGTCGACATATTCCTACACTGGAGAGGAGCCCATGTGTCGATAGTACCAACGTCCGGGGGAAGATGGCTGCGGACCCAATCCTCCCTTCTAATTCTTGTAGGATCGAGTATGTTGTATTGGGTCTTGCTGTAGGAAGTTAGCAGCAACTCTTTCGCGTATCGAGGCGTGCGAAGTACGTCAAGGGATTACCGCATCCGTTAGAGGGTCTCCCGCGAGTTCCGCGGTTCCTGTTACTGGTGAGAAATCCTTTGATAAGCTGAGTCCAATTTGTGGTGTCACTAGATGAATGCAGCCATAAATCGAGCGTGGGCAAATTGTCGGTCACGCAAGGGTTATACCATGAAGCGATATAGTGGCTGGCGTGTCAGTTATGCGATCGTGCCGTGAACTCATCCAACTCAAATAGCATGTGATGAGCACTTCCGCCTACAACAGCAGGTGACTCCGTATATCACCTTACCCCGTGTCACTTATGCGGCAGACGCGAGGCTTACGTTGGAAGCAGCTACGGTACACTGGCAACTTGTTCTAGTGCTATCCCCGGACAAGGATAGAAGGTACGACTGCGCTTGTTGCCGGCACTGTACAGTCTACGTTTAACCTCTACTACAGGAACTAATCGACCGCCTGATGTCTACCCCAAATTCTGCGATTAGTGACACGTTCTACTGGTTTTTTGGTATCTGCACGATATAATATCTGTTGCCTGGCATGGGAACCTTTGCCCTCCTTATAGATCTATATTACGTGGAATGGAAGTTCCCGAGGACCCTCCACTACTAAGGTGGTGTTATGGACTCAAGGAGCTGGAGCTCTACGAACTGCGGAATATGACTAATATCGACCATCATCAGCTGTCCGTCGTGTTACTGTAGCCAGCCTCATCGACTACGAACGCGATTTCCAA